AGTTTCAGTCCAGTGTCACTGTAGATGAAAACCTGTCAGATTGGTTCTCTGTGGAGGGATTTACTATGTCTATTAATTTATTATTTTCCCCGTTCCTTTGTGGTTCCTCGCCTGTTCCCAAAGTTGACCAATTTTGTAAATATTGGGGCCAACTCGAAAGCTGTATGGTTTAGTTGGCCCCCATAATATTTATCAACCGAAAAGGTACATTGTAAACATAAAAAAGCTGAAATTTTATTTGTAAATGTAAATTGTGAAGAAATAAAGTTTGCTAAGTATGTGAACTTCCGTCTTATTCGGATCTTCACTCCAAACAAGGTTCGCGAAATTTCGACAAAACTTTTTCCATAAAATGTTGATGAGCCTGGCGATTTCAAGCCAAGGGTAAGACGTTAAAAAATTATTTTAAAAACTTCCTGGTAGACCTAGGGGACCTCATTCCCCTTCCTAAAACTGCCAACGACTAAAATGTTACTGCTAAACGAAATCCTTTATATAAATTTCTCTTAGGGTATCAATATATAGTCACGTCCCGATATGCACCAATAACTTTTCAAATCAAAGATTACAAGAATTGTATTGCAATCAATTATAAGAAATACAAAAAAGGATCATAAATTATGTCAGTGTGTTCGACTGTCTTCACTCATGAATAGTTTTTCCTAATACGGTCGCGGAGCGATCGTGTTAATTTATGTTTTGCCTACGGTATTGCTTTAAAAGCGACTTTACAAAAGTAATACTTACAGTGTACATTTAGACGTAATACTACTACACTTGCATCTCGACATTACGTACATTACACCATCCATTGACAAATTAATTTATGCATCAGTTTCAACTTGCTTATGATTTTATCCTGATGAGAAAAGTTACATACAATTTTTTCAATATTATAGGGAAACTTAAGGTACGCCAGCAATATTGCGTAATCTAACCTAACCCAAACCCCGAAAGCATTTTACATTTTCATATGAAAAACGTAACTAATAAAATAATAGAATTAATCGCATTTTTACGAGGCACACAGTTTGAATAGCCCGAGAGAAAATTCTATTTCAATTACTGTCACCTCCCAAATCCAATTAGTGAGGCGCTCCAGAAAGCGAATATCTGGTCACAATACCAAAACAGGTGCTCTATGGTTTCAGGTTTGTTATCACAAAAAAAAAGCGCTTATCGTGATCCTTAATGCCCATTTTCATTAACAACAGATTTCAGCCAAAAGTCTATGGAATATTTTATATTGAAAGCACCTTAGCTTACTTGCATCTGTGCATAAGAAAGGGATACTGAAATAGGTAGTTCAATCTCCGACCGGGGGCGGACCGGAAGATGTTTATTCCATTTAGGCTGCACCTTAGTTGGCTGTACGGCAACCGATTTTCGCAAGGTATGAAAAGTTAATCTGCGCACCGTTTTTGTTTTAAATGGTCCCTCTACGTTTTGATATTTGACCACAGGTGGTAGTTTACCAAACTCTCTCATCTCTGATTTCCATGACTTTGGGTTCACATAATACAATAGGCTTGTAAGAAGGTACACTTTAAATTATACTTATTAATCAATTTGGTTGGTAACATGAAAAAACCGGATTCATCTAAGAAGTCATTGACGTAGAGCAGATTATCTTATATACCACGACCCATAAAACACAGATTTATTCCACCATCGCTGTGACAAGAAGTCGCTGGCTTCTACAAGTTCACGAACATACTCTGCCAATGAATCAAAAAAATTCCTGCAGAAAGTATTTTCAACAAAATAGCTAGCCAAGACTGATAAACTTCTTTCCATTCAGGCCATCGGAAAACAAGAGCGTTTTCCTGTTTCCCTGATAATTTTACGTCCGATACTTTTTTATTCGAGGAAACTTTTAGAGCCTTAGCGAACGATCCAATATCGGTAATCCCATCTTCTATATCATTAATAAATGTTTCTTTGCTATTTTATCAGCTTTCCCACCCAAATAAAGGAGCAGAGGAGTGTTTTCAATACTTTAATTTTAGCAAAAAGTCATTTGGAGTAGGAAGTAAGGTTATTAGATGATTGAATTTAGATGCAGTTAATGACTTCATTACCGCCATTTTGCTTATAATACTTAGGGTTCAGGGTAACGGTTAAGTGGACTTGCTAACCCAGAATTAGCGGTGAGGTTTACTGTTTATCTTGTTTGTCCTTCAGTTTTGAGTTTTGAGTTTTAGCATCCACAACCATTATGTGCTTTTTTCTCCCTTATTTACCCAGTTAGCTTTTTATCCAATTTTCCACTTTGTTGACACTTATAATAAAGTTGCGTATACTCTGCTCTTTCCAGAGGAAGTTTGCACACGAGGAACGGATTCATCAAACTAAGTTCTGCTGTCCTACTTTTTCGGATATGTGATAAACAAATTATAACATGTTAAGAGACTTGCATCGTTTTATTCACTCGTTCAGTTCAATACCATGCGGCACACTAACTCGAAGACTTGTTCATACGCGATATGTCCCATATGGCATTTAAAACTCGTGGATAAAAACGATATCAGGCTCTCTGACATGTAATAATCTGTATTTATAGCCATCGTCGTTGGGAATTCCTCGATATCGAGTAAGATATCTACTTACATTTTGGTTGTGTTCATTTGATGAATTCGTTAATGACTGAGCAGTCCGATAACTATGGGCACAATATAATACGTGGCCGATAATAAGTGTGTGTGCTAGATGTATTTTAGTTAAGTAGTTTTTGCCATTTTAAACCGTGACCACATGAACAGTAATTAGCTATTTTTCCTCCATAACCAAGGGCGATATACAGTATTATTTTCCACTTGAGACCACGTCTCACAAGACCGGAGCGAAAATTTCACTACAAAAATCGCATTTCAATTCCCATTGAAGATATGTGAACCGGCTTACCGCTTGCAACCAGTTTCAACTTTGTTTGAGTCTGCCCTTAATTAAAAACATTAAATAGCCTTATTGACGGCTTATTGAATTCGGTTTCTTGTATTTCCGGTCTTGTTAGATGGCGTCAACAGATGAAAAATAACCCAATATCACTTATTGATTAAACAGCGAATTGCAGAAACTTTGTTTTAGGTTCGCTGTAACTATTATTGTGACGACTGCATGTTTTATTTTTGCTATACATAGTCATCCGATGAGGATTCTTTCCCGAGGGCATTTCAAGCGAGGAATCGTTTTCAATGCAAGTTTTCATT